AAGACGTGATCATCACAAACACATATTACAAGAAGTTTATTATTGTCGGAAATTATTATTTGTTGCCTACGAATTTCTATGTCTGATGTCTAGATAAATTATAATGATTCAATTAAAAAAACAGCAAAGACTGACGACGATTGAAATGATGCTATTTATTCTGCAATAAGTAGACTAGATCAAATGTGAAATGAAGGAAGGTGAATTCAGAATTCCAATTGCTTTTGTAGTAGATATGTTTGTGCATCCCGGACTAATCGCGATAGGCCCAGATCTTCTACAGAAATCAATAAAATCTTGACAATCTTGATATCTGGAATTCTAGGATTGTCCTTTGTGCTCTTGTTTTTCAATTAGCCGTTGCCTATACTCAATTATTTTGAATTTTTAGAAAATTCCGCTTTGATTTAATCTCCATACTACAAAACAAATCAGTATTCGATTCAATTGATTTTTATTTGAACAAAACAAGCTTCAAAACAATTTATGGTCTATGTCATTTTTCGAAATAGATTTGTTGTTGAATGTTTCAAGTTATTGATCATCAAAATTTGATCTAAGAAATAAATGTTGTTCATCTTACAGTATTGGCCATTTGGCCAATACGTTGCGCTCGTAATCGACAAAGAAAAATCTTTCGAATTTTCGATCGAAGCTCAGGCAATGATAAACAGCATACTACTGGAAATAGAAATATTACATAATAATTAAGAAATCCTGTACAAGCTGAAGCAATGCTGGCAACATTTTCTGGTAAACCATATTGATAAGAAAAAATGAATAGGACCCATGGCACATTGAAAATAATATAGACACTGGAAGTGATGAGTAACTGAACGAACATTTTTCGATATTTTCGCCAGTTAAATTCTTGTCGTAAACGATTCTTTTGCCATATAAAGCGAACTAAGAGCGCCACATTAAAAATCACAATAAACAAAGTAGGAATGACTTGATGAAAATTCAGATCCCACATTCCTAATATTGTATGATCAAAAACACAAGGAATATGAAGACTTCCAGCCAGAAATCCATCAAATGAATTTTTACAAAACGGGTAAAAATGAACGAAAGAATAATAGATAAGATAATACATAACAATGAAACCGATTGGAAAATAATGAATAAAAAAAACGTTGCTTTTTCGTCTGTAACCAATGATCATGAAATATAAGTATATGTCGTTCAATACTTGCCCAAGCGAATAATTCAATTTGAAGAGAAAATAATGTATAGTTGATAAAGGTCCAAAACATATAGAATGTTTCGGATCTAATTATAGGTATATGATTATAATCATTATAAAGAATCCATGGAATATCTGTTAATTCGTATAGTAGACCAATTATGAGAAGTACGATGAACACGTGATTATTGATTGCGCATCGTAATGCTTTGTTGGTTAAAAAACAATATAGATCGAAAAAAGTAAAGAACAAAGAAAATACATCCGAAAATAAATATGCCCAAAATCGTGCCATTAGAGTTAGTCCTTGATTCGACTGAGAGATAGAAACATTTGTTGACAAACTGAAGTTGATAAATAAATCCTTTGAGTTCATCGTGGAAGAGTGGAAAAATAATGTCAAGATGTTTGTGAACGTGTGTAGCTGATTATCCCGATGCCTTTAGTAATGAGAAAGAAAAAAAATATCATTTACTTTCTAGGTGTCAATTTATTTTAAAATATAATTTCTTATTCATTAAAGCAAAGTTTTTCAGTAATGATGTCTCCCTAAATGAAAAGTTTCTTCTTTCTATTCATTATTTCTGTATGATTTAGTGTCTTTACTGAGTTTATTTTTTAACATTACTTCTTTTTTTTCTCTTCGTTAAAGGCTTTCAATGTAGTTTATCACCAACACAATGGATATGGTTGTATTACTTCCAAATCAGTTGCAATAAAATGCAGTGTCATCAATTATTTTTGCTGAAAAAATTTTTTTAGGAAAGATTTAAATAACAACACTGTTTCTTTGGATACTATATAAAGAAAAAAAATCCAGATAGTTCTTACTATTAAATCGATAAGTAGGATCTCTATGTACTAAATGCATAAATAAAGTCTTCTTAAAAATTCTAGTCTCTACTTCATAGATATATTTTTTCTTTCAATCCAATCGAAACCTATATACAGAATTAAATTGCGTTTTACAATTTTAAGTCCATTAGTATTGTGCTAATGACTTCTTCTTTCCATTTAATATAAGAAGCAGCAAATGCGCTTCTAACAATATACTCTCAATACTTTCAATGTATTCGACATCGCATGCTAATTAACTTGAAGGTTTTTATATTGAAGCGCTTGAGTGACCTCAGTTTAAGAACGTAATGATGATCCGTATGACTTTTATTGTTAACTTGAACTATTTCGCAGTTCCATAACAGAAATGTAGTATCAAAATTCATCGATGAAAAAGCAGAAAAAAAAATATATTGAACGAAGTATTTTGCATATGCATACAATTATTTACATCTTTGTCAATCATATTTCGATATTAATTTTCTGGATTCACTTTTCAATAAAACTTTTCACATATATTTTACGCTCTTATTTTGAAAATGAACATTTATCCGAAGATGTGCTCTCTTATCATTATGAATCAATGCCCAATGAAGAAACGTCAACATAAAGAATATGTAATGATTAGTGAGTCTGAATTTCAAAATAAATCTAAAAACTTGGTGCTATACGATGCAATGCATACATGATGTTTGGGGTTATCAAGCAGATTCACAACGATGATTTTGTTATCATCACATCACATTAAAGACAACTGAATTCGTGAATTCTTTTATTCTACAGAAAAAAAGAATATGTCAATACATTACCATGTATATACTTGTTTATCCATCTATCAGTCTATCAATACCTATTTAATGATCTATCTGCACACCTAAATACTTATCTACTGGCCTACTAGATTAGTCCGTTACATATCTAACTATATGCTAAATTATGAATGTACCTATTTAGTAATCCTTGTACTTATCTTTCCAGGGTGTACGATTAGCGGGGAAAGCCGGGGGATTCCACCCCCCGCAATTTTTTTTGTTCTTATTTAGCTTTCACCCTGGAAATTTTAAGCACAATTAGCATTTTTTCATATTTGATAGGCGAAATGAGCTTTGTACAATTTGAACCGGTTGTTTTCTCTGATGCAAAACAATTTCTTTTAATATTTCTACGAAAAGTACCTGCTGTCTCATTGAGAGACTAATATACAGCTGATGAAAATAAATTGATTTCAAAGCAAAAATAATCCATTTTCTCCTTGTTGAGGGTGAGTGTGGGTGTTTATCTTTTCATCACTTATACCCTGGGCTCCGATTCATCCTATAATTCCTATAATTCCTATATTTTTAAAAAATCCAATATTTTGTCCTATATTTGGATTGATTTTCCTACTATTCCTATATTTTGTCAAAAAATTGAAGAAATTTCACGAGACTTTACTTTGTCCTGAGGAGGAGTACAGGGATCTTCGCGACGCTACCCCCTCGCTGGTCATCACTTTTACGAAAAAAACAGGTAATGTGAATAGCTATTTCTGGTAAGTAAAGCACATACATATGAGGTGCAATTCGACTTACAATACCTAAATTGTGGTCAATTTTTTACTTTTTTTAGTGAAAACAATCTTATAATTCAGAAAACAAAATTCTTTATAGAAATTCCTAAAATTTCGAAAATTTATAATCGGAGGCCAGATTATTGTAGATAAAATTTAAAAAAAGTAATTTATAGATCCTCTGTTGCATATTGCTCTAATTTCTTTTCCTTTCTATCCAGCTGTTATACATATATCCTCGTTCTTTTGCTTTTCTTCTCTGTTCAGCTGTTATACATATGTTCTTGTTCTGTTTTTTTCTTTTCCGTCCAACTGTTCCATATGTTCCTGTTCGTTTGATCTACCTTTTCTAACCGACGTCTTCTCTGAATAAGAAGAATCATTGTTTTAATTCTTCTCATTGTTCATTATTGAAAACAAAGGCAAAGAAGCTTCTTCATTGTTTTCCCAGCTCATTGATTTATCTCTCCCTATATAAATACTCCCTCTTTTTCCAGTTAAGAGTGGTTAAATACTTGTTTATCCATTGTGTCGTATATTTTACTTCCTCGTCTTTGATTTTATAAATATAATGCCAAGAAAGTTAACAAAATTTAATACAGATTGGCTCCATCGACTTGATTCCAACAACGATTCGGTAAACATATGGTTGAAACAGGGCTCCACACCTACAACTTTCAAGTGCAGTTTATGTCAAACAGGTGATCTATGCTGTGGTAATCAAGGTTGGAGAGCAATAGAACAACATATGAATATTAATAGACATAAAGAAATATTACGTCAATGGAAACAGAATGCCAAATTTCGTTTAACAAATCAAACACGATCAGATTCACCAGATTCATCTACATTCACCTTTACTAGTATTCCAGTATTAGATACAAATACAAACAAAAATAAACCTTTAACATTAGATGATCAAGTAACAAAAGCTGAAATTCTGTGGTCGTTAAAAGTTGCTGAAAAAGGTCTAAGTTATAAATTATGTGATGAATTAAATGAATTGTTTTCATCAATGTTTCCTGATTCTTCAATTGTCGGAAACTTTAGTATTCAAGCTGATAAAATGTCTTATGTTATATCACACGGATTGGGTCCTTATTTCAAGAAAAAATTAATCGACGATGTTAAAAAAGTTGATAAATTTGTCCTTATATTCGATGAACAAACGAATAATCAAAACAAAAAGCAATTAGATATGTTGTTAAGATATTGGTCTAATGAGAAACAATCTGTTGTTAATCGGTTTTATAAATCAGTTATATTAGGTCATGCTTATGCAAAAACAATTCGTGATATAATTATTGAATCATTTACTACTGATGGATTGAATTTAAATAAACTTTTAATGTTAGGAAGAGATAATCCCAACATTAATATTTCACTTGAAAATTTAATGGATGTGGAAATANTAGCTAATGTGTCATTATATGGAACATGTCCAGCAGCAGCAAAACGAAAAAATTCTGGTGGCATAAATTGTATACAACCTAACTGAGTTAGTTGACCTGTTGGATCAAGAACACGTGCAATACCCATATCACCAATTTTTGCCTCATAATGATCCGTAATAAGAATATTATCTGGTCGAATATCACGATGTATCATACCATGTTGATGAATACGTTTCATACCTGATGCTATTTGTCGACCCATAGCTAATTTACGTCCTAATGATAATTTATTCGGTAGATGATTAAGAAGATGTTGTAAACTTCCACGTTCCATTAATTCCATTAATATCATATACTGACTTTTTGATCCGTGATTATGATTTGATGGTATCCTACGAGTTGCATAAGCATATGTTCGAAGAATATATGGACCGGATAATTCACGATATGCAGCTAATTCAAGAAGAAAACTTCGATGAAGTGGATCTGATTTTGATGCTCTACTAGATATTTCAATAACTTTACAAGCAACTTGACGATTTTTTGGTCGCCATATAGCTTTACATACAAAACCTATAAGTAATAATAATTATTTCTATTTCTAATTCATTAGTTAACGATTAGCTTTAACAAAAAAATAGAAAAATCGTGGCTATTTTGTAAAAAGCGATTACTACAAACATTTGAGGAGTTGACAATGTCAAACAGGATTTAGCTGCTATAGTTGATGTTTTAAATGCACCTGTATTTTATACATATTGATATACATTTCATCATAATAGTCTACCTTACATTATAGATTTTCAATAGAATAATATTCTTTGTTAGAGTACGATTAGTTAACAATGGATCAGACAAGTGCATTATCAACGAACATATCGAACACTTTTTTTAGAACGATTCTTTATCTCACTTCTGTTTATCAGTCTATTTATCGATAGGAGAAGGCCATTCTCTTTTGATCTACACATGGCTGATCATGTTAACTTGTTTCATTCAAGAGTTATGGGATTTTTCTTCAGATCCCTGATTTCAGCTAATTGACCTCGGATCAAATGAAAAACAATCTTGAATGTAATAATTCATTATGCGGAGTCCAATGGTGATATTTATTTTCTGTATTCAAAGTCATCTTACAATGCTATCTCAATATTTCCGAAACGTGAACGCATTTGATATCATAGAGTGATAAATATTGTAAAATGTGACGAGTTGACTAAAACAAAAGAAAATTAGGATAGTTTTAAATTCATATTCAAGCATCGCTATTCGACTTAGTATGATGAATCATCCAATTCGAGGCAACTTTTCGCTTGATCCAAAGTCAGTTGACTGAAATCAAGGGTTCAGAAAAGCTCTCTACTAATTAAAAGACTAAGTAGAGATGAGATGAAAAATGCTTTTCGTAAAAGGTTTCCAAAACGTTTATAGATAATACACCTGATTAGTCAACTATTAGTCAATCATTTTAAAGAATGTAATGATATTTATAAATCTGTTTCTCTTTCAAATGATGAAACCGGCACCACGCTATCTTGTTCTTAACAGAAGTTATTTAAAAAATGATTACAGTTCATGTATTTCGAAACAGATACTTATGATTAATCAAGAGTTATAAGCTTGCTGCTTAAAAGTTCTTGTCTAATACAATTTTCGGTTCAAAAAATGAAAAATCATGTATAATCTCTTAGAGAGCTTTTTTTTCATACGTCGAATCTATTAATGGACAACTACACATTTAGACAAACATGTGCTCATATTCACAATAACAAGACGATCAGAGATGCTACTTATATGAAACTATAGCTTATCAAAAACTTACAAAATTGTAACGAAGTAAAAGCATTTTATAGATTCTAGAGATTAAAATCAAGGGTGTGAATGGGTAGTTGTCTATCAAAAATTTGACTTTAGTTCCTTCAAAATCTTATGAAAATAGGATTTACTATATATCAATTGGCTCTCCAAAAAAAGTTCTATAAGATAATATACACGTTTATTTTTTTCTGAATTGAATATCTTGTTCGACAAAAGATTTTTAAATGTCAGACTCAAAACTATTACTCTTTTCTAAGTAACAAAATAATTAAACTTACCAAATCCTCCTCGACCTAAAACTTCTCCAATTTCAATATCATTCGAATCAATTTTTGGTATAACTCTCTTCGAAGTTAAAATTAATGGATGATTTTTTTCATGATTTTTTGTACAAACACGTTTTTCAATGGCACATGTTTCACATAAATCATAATTAGGACATGTATCACATTTAAAACGTAAACCAACTATTACTTTTTGATTACAAACTCCATCACATGTTGTACCATCGTGTTGCTCATGTCGTAGTGTATCTAATTTTCGTAATTTATTTAAAGTAACTTCATTGTCAACATCATAAAAATACATTCCTAACATTTCATTTGGTAATTTAAAATGTGCCATAACATGACTATTTGAATGTCGTCCTGTTTCACGACGTTTTTCAAAACAATGTCCACACAAATCATATGTTGGTGATTTACATTCTAAACAATGATATCGATCAACTTGACGAATAGGATTCATTCCACATGTAGAACATTTAGTATTATGAATATCACCACCATCATCAGTATCATTGAATTGAGCTTTATTAATTAATCGAGCAAGAATATTAACTAGAAATAAATCATTAACAAGATCTGAATTTGGATTTGATGAAGAATCTATTATAAGAAAAAATGAAATAATAAAAATTGTTCAAAACTAAAATTAGCTTTATTTACCTTCAGGTTTAATTTTTGATTTATCAGATGAATATTTTTGTAAAATATATTCACAATGTTGTTTTGTACCTAACATAGATAAAGAATATAGTTTTAAAATTTGGTTAAATTTTTTTATGTTTTTTTTTCAAATAGAAAACTTAATAAATTAATCAGCCTTCAAAAATCGATCTCGGTTTAAGAACAACAGAATATCTTGAAACTTTGAGGATGTGTTGAGACTATGAAAAGATATTTGTTGTAAAATCTTCAGTCTCTTATGTTGATATTTAAGAAAGATTCAATCAAACAAGAATCAACGAAAACCAATAGTTTATCGTACTTCTGAAAGTTCACTGTGATTCTTCATTCTGTATTTTTTGATTTTTTCTTTGTTAGAAAGACTAATTATGTTCGAATGTAATTAGTACCTATAGAGACTCTTGTTGTTACTCTTATTTTTTTGTAGGAAAAAGGGCGTAACATTTTCAATCATTGATCAACTTCACAAAAGAAAGACTGTTATAGGCAATGACATTTAAAGAAAAAAATCTATGGATTTTTCAAATAGACGTATTTTAAATTGTTGAAATTTTGTGGAAAAAAAACGGGAAACGTTTCTATTGATTGTGAAAAAACGAGTAACAGACTATCTCTCCAGGTATTTTAATATTGACCACTCTAACGAAAATTAACTTTCTCTTTTGAGAGTGTTGAAATAATCGATTCAACTAAGAAATAGACCAGTTGATTCCGATAGAAAAATTGTTAGCATAATCTCTGTAGAATTCAAATATGAAACACAATATATCTATTGTTGCTATTCCTCTTCAGTAAATAAAAAAGAAAACAAAAGTAATATTTATTCATCATATAGTACCGCCAATGTTTTCTTTCCGAATGAAATCATTTGTTCATTGAAATGTTTAGGTGTAGAAATATAGGGATGACCAATTCGACTGATATCCCAAGATTATGAACAAGAAACAATGTTATTCTATAGATGAGTTTATAATGAATTTTATATCAAATGAAGGCTTATCAAAAATGGGATTTATTGATATTAATTAGTAAGGGTTTTGTGAACTTTGCAATGCCAAACTTAGGAAAGTTTGAGAAATTTATGTTAAAAAAACCCCATTTTCTTTGTAGAAAAAGAACGGTAGATTTTTCCATAGAATAATATTGTTTCCTGTCCATTATCTTGGGGTATGAGTCAAATTGGTCATCCCCATATAATTTTTGAAAGTTTCTTGAAACTGTCTGTCATAATTTGGTATAAGTCTTAATTTCTATCTCTAAACACTTCTTTTAAATTATATTCTACAAATAAACAGACAACCAATAAAATTCATAGATTCTATTTCACACTGAAAAGTTTTTCTTGACTTTCTTTTGTTTTCTTTAGTCCTTTCGAAGATGTTATAATAAAAAACTCAAAAACACGTTATCTGTCCAGATAGGATCAAAAATACTTTTTTATCCTAGATAACTTGACAAAATATTATTTAAAAAACAAGACGGACTTATGCTCAGCAGTCAAACACGTTTGGAATCAAATGTATATAAATTAAGTTTTGGAAAAATTATTAAGAAGGTAGAGGTTTGATCAAAATATAAGGACGTATTTTCATAGACTGAAAATTCCCAACTTTAGTTTGCTATGATGAAATTTCAGTATAAAACAATAGAATAAATATTTTTAGAAATTATTGATTTATTTGATGAGTTTTAAAAAGTAATAAGTTTAGTTTTTTCTTCATTTTTATATTCTTTATATGATAAATTTTTAAATGAACAAACTCAATTCGATTTTTGAATATTAAGAAATCAATTTTAATAGTTTTTTAATTCACAAAATCAATGTTTTTTAAAAAACTAGACAATGTCTTTGTAGTCACAAACTTAAAAATATTTGTTTTGTAAATATTTATTATATTATTTCTTTTCATATTCAGTTAATGAAAAGGAAAACAACAGTGAAGTCTTTCATTTTAATTGGAATTATTGTACCACTCATAGTGGAGATGTTGTCGGTAATAATGAAGTACAGTTTGTCTGTCATTGTTGAATAAGTAACATCATCTCTTACTGTGTTTTATATCTAGATATCGTTCATTTCCTTTCTTCTATTTTTTTTTTGTGTGTTCACTCTTATCTAACATATATAAACGGGTACTTTCAATGTAAATCATGCGATTGTATGATACAAAGGAACATAATAGTGTTATTCTGTCTTCACTCATATTCATTCTACAGTTATAAGTCGTCAGTATGATTGGAAGGAAAAAAATAACGTAACCATGTTTTATACTTATCGATGTCTGAATATAACTGTCTTATTATTCATATATCGATTTACATTCTGTTTTATTTATGTCTACATTCTTACTCTACCATATACATATATGAATCCTTATGTATTTCCATATTTATTCATTTTTAACACTCAACATTCATTTAATAAATACATTTATTGATACAATCGTTTCATAGTTGAAGTATGAAATATTTTATGTAGTTTTGCTACTAATAGTGAAACTGTAGTCGTATTATTTATTCTAGAACACATGTCTTCCTAAAATCCAGTAAATAATTGATGTATTAAAACATTATATTATTGTGATGCTATCGGTACTTATACATTAACAGTGTTTTTATAATGTGTGATTTAGAAGAACTAAACGATGAGGAGAAGGTGAATATTTACACTTATACTTCAACATTCATTTGAAATAATATTTTACAAGAAAATGACTAATTTATATTACCATGAGCAAGAACTGTTCCATAGCGTTTTGTACCGTCAATAGTAACTGCATAAGTAAGATTATCTTCTAGTTCTTGTAATGGTGGTAAACTAATATATCTTTGTGGAATAACTTCGAATTGTTTAGTGTCTTTCCATCGAATTGTACAATAAGGGTCTTGTGCACGTTGTTCTTCTAAATAAAAAATATAGAATAATTAATTGAACTACCATAGTTTAATTCTTCTTCTTACCAATTTTCTCAACTAATGCGTCTTTTAAATGTTTTAACATTCTAAATACAGTTGTCAATAACTATAAAAAAAATGCTGAAATCAACTAAGATAAAAGCAATAAGCAGAAATGAAAACAGCAAAAAGTAAGACCACTTAAACAAATAGAACAGAAAAAAGAAAGAAAAAAAAAAGTTTTCTCTTTTCTTTGATTTTATTCTGCTTGACAATCTCTGCATTTGATTTCATAAAAGATAACAAATATGCAAGCTTATTCATCATAATAAATTATTCATTCCAAGTTTTATACAAAATTAGTAAACTATATTGAATGAAATGTAAAGCAAATGATATTACTACGAGTAATTTAAGGAATAGAATTTGATTTATTAAGAATTTATGAAGGAAGTGAACCACGTTTCTATGATTCATGCGTAACCATACCAACAAAAATTATTATCGTAGAATGAGTTTCATCTTTCTTTTTCTTTTAATGCAAAACATTTTTTCTTGAAATAGATCTGTTTTAGAAAAACTAATAAAATAAATAATTATTGACAATGGCAACTATAGAGATTATCATATTCAAAATTAGATCAAAGAGATGATATCGTTGGAAATAATATTTTTATAAATATTTTTGCTTAAAGTCTTTTCTACAAACTATAATTTATGTAACACCAAAGATGAGCAAATTCAGACACAGTAGAATATTTATTTCTTCCATTTCACTTCAGTTTTTTACAAGTGTACTTTTTATGAATAAATTCTTTGTTCTTTCATATGCAACGCAATAAATATTAATTAATTAAGAGACGTTCCATGAAAATATCAGAATTCCAAAACCATGGGGGTCAACCGATTTTGAATCTGATCTCATAGGAATTTAGGCCTTAGTGTACCATATATAAATCCAAAATATTACGGTCTAAAGATCTACCTATAGTTGGCTGGGGCCGATGAACCTGACATACCCTAAAAAGTACCATCAATCTGAAGGGAAAAATTCAACTTTTACTGTCGTTGAATTTTTCCCTTCAGATTTTTCCACGGTTCAAATTGAGTCATATACCAATCGATAGAGGTTGACCTGTTCTACAAAATGGTATATATGACATTTCTCCTCAATCTCAATATTGAAGACAAAAAGTCAAAAAACATTGTTTTTTTGTGCATATGCTATTGCAGGGTTTTTTCAGTATTTTGATCAAATACCTAGGTCAGAAATCGATTGCTAAAAAAGTGTATACATCATTTTGTAGCTCGTTTAATTCTGCATCGACTCATATGTAGGACATTGCTGAACAACGTTCAACACTTGAGATGACCATACTCATATTTTGTCTTGTTTGGCAAAATGAGATGTCATATCAGATTCCTATCGGATTCATATTTGAGTTTTTTTTCTTAAAATTTCCCCACTATTTAAACTGAATCATATACCAATAGATACAGCTTGAATTGCTCTACAAAATGGTATATAAGACGTTTCCCCTCAGTCTCAATATTGAAGTCGAAAAGTCAAAATACTGTATTTTTTGACATAATATAAATGTTTTTTTCCTAACGTTTTGATGAAATCTCCGTATCAAAAGCTGAATGCTAAAACAGAAATAGCATCATCTTATAGGCCGTTCAATTCTGCATTGAGTAATGTATGTCCCATTGTTTTGAAGATATCCTGAAGAGGGAAAGAGCAATACTTCAGAAGTGCATACTTCTATCATATTTTCTTGCACTTCCATCGTACTCCTGCGACACTTTCTTATACTTCCACGATACTTCCTCACGCTGCCATGATACTTTCTCGTACTGCCATCGTACTTCAAGATATGTCGGAACTATATAAAGTTTTGCTCTTTCCCCTTTTGATATTGTACAACTGAATCATTAAGAGTCAAACGTTAAGAACTGACATCATATTTAACGGGTGCGGCAGAATAAATGGTCGATTCATATTTTGTTGATATTTTGGTTATTTTTAATTGTTGAGGCTGTCTTATTTTTTCCAAAATATTTGTCGCATAATTCTGCACAAAACAATATAACTTGCCCAATCAATACATTTTTCTTTGGGTCGAGAGCATAACTTGCTTAAACAGTCAGGTTTAATCCACTTTCTAAAACCGCATAAATTATAGAACTCACGTATATTTTCGATAAAAATAGTGATTGTAAATTTTTAGTTCAGTTTTTTTCGTTACTTTTTGCCTTATTACAGACTGATAGCAACGAAAGAGAACACTACAAAAATACCCTTCACCTTTCCTTAAAGAGACCTCCATTACAGGCATTAACAATGCTTACAAAAGGCGCTAGATTCTATATTATACGTCAATGCTTCCCCAATAATTTGAAAGAAAACTATTTTTCGGTTTACCAATAGTTGATTAGGATCAAATATTTGAACGATACACATGAGTTTCATATTTCAGTTCCTTTGGAGCTACGCTGTTAAGCTGTTTTCAAGTTTTTTCAAACAATCATTGCTACTCTCTAATCATTGCAACTTGCTCTATTGCAGACTTTGAAATTTTTTTGGTGGTTAACTCATTCTAAATAATAATCGGTACCATGCTAGTAACTTTAATAATTTTGTGAACATGCCAGACAGTAAGTGAACATGATTAGAAAATAAATATTCTTTTGTGAAAACGTTTGAGAAAAATATAAGGATTTAGAAAGCTGTTTAACTCTTGTTGTTTAAACAAGTCATGCTCTAGAACCAAAGAAAAATGTATTAATTGAGCAAATTGTACTACTTCGTGCAGAATCCTGGAGCGAATATTTTGGAAAGAATAGCAATATCTCAACAATTCAAAATAGCAGAATATCAACAAAATACGAATCGGTTATTTATTCTACCGCACCCGTTAGTTATAATTTTTCACGAAAGACTTTTTTTAAAATAAAGGAGGGGCTGAGAAGCGATGAAATCGACCCCCTTTAGAATTTCGACTGTACCTTAGCAAAATCGCTCTATTGAGTACCCGAAAACGTTCTATTACAGGACTAATGAAATAGACCTTATTTTTGCTATGGATGAATGCAGTAGCTTAGCAAGTAGACATTGTATTAAGGATAGGCCGGATTTTTCATGTTAATCGTCTTGCTTTATCCACTCAATACGTGATCGAACAACGTTCTTTTCAAATTCTTATATGGCATTTTTTAGGGCTTCAAAACGGTATAAAGTATCCAAGAAAAAAGCACTAAGTCGATAATAAGATCCAAACCACATCAATGAGCGGGTCACGATTTTGAGCTGTTTTTCCACGAGAAATAAACCAATATCAGTTAAAAAATGATACTTTGGATTAGAAATAATAATAAGATATTCTCAATCAAAATGAAAAACTGAGTAGACCCAACTTATTTTCGATGCGTTTCAGAGACTTCTTTTTTTCCGAAAATGCTGCCCCTATCCTCTTCCTTACCAGGTACAGGCCAAAAAATGAATTTTATGGAAACTTTTTTTATTATTTCGAGATATGCTATTAAGCTCCCAGATATGTTTTTGCGTACTCTAAATATGAATACATTCTGGACTCGATCAGTGTGTTCGTCCGTCCAGCCATTTCTGCGATAACTTTTCAAAAGAGTCCGATCACGATGACATTTTCCATGGGTTTTAGTCTCAACAATATCTCGATCGAGTTCAAAGATGAGCAGAATTGGTCGAGTCGTTCCTGAGTTATTGCAAAAATACTTATTTTTCCCTATGGAATAATCGACATATCTCCGCTTTCGTAAAAGACTTCCCAATCGTAGTCAAATAAAGCCTCAACTGTTATATATCATTCGACAGACAAATTTTCAAAGCTGCAAAATGATGTATAAAACACAAAGAAAGAAAAGATAAATAAACGAAATCGATTCTGTTCTTGTGCATACTCCTATTGATTCCCTATTAGAGCTCTATCTTCTGATTGTAGAGGTGATACTTCGAAGTTTTCTTGCATGGGAAACTCGAATCTGTACTCCACTTACCTCAAGGTTTCATCGGTTGCGCACTGACTAAGAGAAATCAAGTTATAGGAAAAACCGACTTCGAATAAATTAAGGGGAAGAGTTAAAATCTAAGCTTTAGTCGTCTCCAAATCCTATTATTTTAGTAGTGGTCTATAAAAATCAGGTGTATATAGAAAGGGTTTACCACAATAACTTTTATGTCAACTCATGCCAGAATGACTCATCTGTATCATTCACCTTTTGAAGTACACATAAATCTTGGAGTTAAATCCGAGGTTTCCATATTTATAATACCTCCGAACTTGGTTTACACAGCCAGATTACATATTTTACGAAATTTATTCTTTGGTCTACGCATGACAGGCAGCCTACGGGGGAAATTGTTGGAAAAAGTAAAAGTCCGCCAAGTAGAGCGAAGCTTAGTTGGATCCACTCAGTTTTCGATGCTGATTTAGAATATTGTATTACTTATAATCTAAATCATCATTTTTTAAGTGAAATTGGCTCATTTCTGTTGGAAAGACAGCTCAAAATCGAGACTCCCGCAGCAATGTGACTAGGACTTTTTTAGCGGACGAATATTATCTCTTGCATATTTTTACACCATTTTGAAGCCCTTCAAAAGTTCTTCCGACTATAAGAAAGCTGGCATGGCGGACAATGAGATTGATTCAAAATGATGGGGGTTTTCATTAATTACCATTAATTTTTCAACTATTTTCTGAGCATGTGGCCCAATATTCTCAATACTAAATACCTCTGCTCAGCTTCTATTCCTGGACACTTTTATATCATTTTGAATCTCTAAAAATACCATCTAAGCATTTGAAAAGAACGTTGCTCGATCACGTATTGAGTGGATAGAGCAAGACGATTAACATGACAAACCCGGACTATTCTTAATACAATGTCTACTGGCTAAGTTACTGCACTCATCCATAGCAAAAACAAGGTCTATTTCATTAATCCTGTAATAGAACGCTTTCAAGCACCTAATACAAGGATTTCACTAAGATACAGTCGAATTTTTGAAGGGGGGGGGGGGCGATTTCATCGCTTATCGAGCCCCTCCTTTACTTAATTTTTTTT